TGTTTTAGCTGAATCATTTTATTGCATCGTTCGATTTATTGGAGAACTCAATGAAACGAAATCGTAATATTTGATGCAAAAAAGTTTTTTTTCAATACCTATGCAGACGGAAAAGAAGATGACGAAGATACGAAATCAAGAAATAGTTTGCGCTCATATACAAAATTGGCAAGAGTCTTGTCTATTTCTCGCATTGGATTTGTGTTGTGGTTTGTCGTTTGTGATTTCTAAATTTGGAAAATATTATAATACTGAAAAAAGAGGACAAACGTCTGGTAAGTTATGACAAAAACGTGTATGTTCGTTGACCTGAAATCATCAAAAATTCAATGGCCAGACAATCAATGGGATCTCTGATTTCATAAACGTGCTCATTCTCTCGCTCTATCTCTCTTTTGTCTCTTGACCATTTTGCATAACAATGATTTTGTGCTATTTTTTTTTCAATGCGCTGCTTATCGCACATCATCAATTTTTGTGTCATTTTCAGTCGTGATAATTGATTTTTTGTTAACTCCCGATTTACAAATTAAATCATTAATTATTGTTTGAATGCTTATCCCTTATTATTTAAGTGACCTTTTTTACCAGTTATTCAAATGAGATTCAGGAGAATGAGATGTGAATGGCATATGATGTGTATTATTGGTGTATTTCATCGCAACAATCCAATTTTATCGAGCGGAACAGACTAAAAAAATTAATCATACGATTGATGAACAAACGAAAATGTGCCAACATCATTTTTTTTCTCTCATCCGACAGAGAAATAGAGAATGCACACATGTTTTTGGTGTTTAATAATTTGAATGGTTGCACAAGATATTCGGATCGAAAATGAGGAAAATTATACGAAGATCAAAAAATAAATTTTGTTTTTATCTCATCTTCTCGCATCTCATGCATTTTCTTTCGCCTAAAAAAGTACACGTGTCTTATATTTTAAGCGATACTTTTTAAAATATTGTTAGCATTTGTAATTGCGCCGGAATCTAATAAATGGAACGAACGAAACATCGACGAAACAAAACGAAAATTGACGGTACTCGCCTAATAACGAAAAATTAGGTGAACAAGAAAAATGGAAAAAGATTTGCCTTCTTTTAAACTCATTTAGCATAATTTAAATGTGATAAGAAACGGGAACTTGGGTTCGCCCACAATGCTGTAGACTTTTCCTCAACTTTATTTCTGGAGATAAATGGACTCGTTCTTTTCATTTCTTGTTTCGGTTATATTTCACACGATTACCACCTTTTTCATAGCTGCCAAAAATGAAACGGTGAGTAATGGTTGAAATTCCTTGTTTTTCTTATTCGTTTGTGTGCATTCGTGTACTGCGCACATATTTTTTTTCGGCACATATTTAACCTTTTTTTTCGCCACAATTGTTTGTATTCGAAGATGTTGCGTCTCATTGCAAATGGATAAGAATAAGACATAGAGCAATTCACCTTTTGTATATTTCTATTCACACGGCTCTTCCCACACGTATTGCTCTTACGTTGAAGTGCTTCATGCCGAAGAGTAATACGAGAAACTTCCCTTCCCTGCAAAAGAAAAAGGGCACAAAAAAAAACATTTTCTCGGTTTTCTCCTTAATATATTCGAGCTCAGCATGTTATGTAAACAAAAAAAATTAACATCACTCGACGGTCGCAATGATAACATCGAAATAACACCATCACAATGCACATACAAAGAAAAAAAAATGAAAATGAGCTTCAAGTAAACCATTAGCAATGATGAAAAGAAGACATATCAACGACAATGCGTAATAAAAAAGAAACGAAAATAAATTGGAACAAAAATAACCCATTTGTTATCATTTTCATTATTTTATATTCAGATAACTTCCGTGATGATTTCCAAAATCGCAGATTTCACATACACCAATCGCACGCATATTTTTATTCGAATAGCAGAACGAACAAAAAAAAACGATTCGCGTGCAATATGCTACGAGATTCGCCATTTGGAGTGTACAATGACGGTAAACAAAAAATAATAATATGTTTCGATGAATGAGATGCCATAGGTAATGCCAAAGAATAGTCAAGATGAATGTCTATGTGCATTGTGCATAGCAACAGAAGTCCGTTCGTTTGGGATTTCATACTTAACACCATTCAATTTAGAATCCCATAAAACTTATTCATATTTTTACGTGTGGTAAATGTGGCAAATAAATTCAGCCTGAAATGGATTCTAAATGCCTTTCACTGTGACTTAGCGTTTTTTAGTTTCATTTACAGCCGTCAATGGCACAACCATCAGTCAACACATTACAAATGAATCATTTTTTTTAGCGGGGGTGTTGTCCAATTACATATTTCGGTGAATTTGATTGAATGTACACGGTTAATTTAACAATTTAAAAAAAATGAAATGCACTTGTTTAATATCGATAAAGAATTGTGTTATTACATTCATTTTCAGGTAATAATTACAAATGAAAGGAAAACAATAGGAAATAATGAGCACAATGGCATTCCAACTGAGTTATTTTCAATTGATAAATAAACACAAATGATTGATGGCAAATGGTGAAAATTGTGTGAAATAAATAGTTAACCATTTTTTGAAATGAACAAATTAACAATTTTCTTCGATGTGTTTTGGGAAATGCGCAATTTCCTTTTTGTCTAAAAATTCTTTCGTAAATTGAATGTCAAGCAGACTAAATATGAAAGAACGCAATTATGGTACGCAATGTTTCTTTTGAATTGGTTACCATCATGACTTCGAAAATAGAATTCAACGAAAAAAACTGCTGCTCACCAAATCATTCTTGACCTTAACTTAAAGAATTTTGTGAAATGTATTATCTCGTATCCACACCAAGGCTTAGACAGAAAAAAAACAGATAGAAAATTATAATCCATATCTATTTGTAAAGAACACAACTTCAAAATGATTAATATATCATTTATGTCTCCATATTTTGTGACGTGTGTGTAACGTGAATGTTTTTTTTTGCATTCTCTTTAAATCAGTTGTATTTATGTTCAAAGGTCCGGTTCGGATTTTTTTCTCTTTGCCGCTGTTGCTGATCTGATGATATACACGGCCAGCCGGCAACACATACTAACCCTCACACTGGAGTAAAAATGGTTCTAAATGCAGAATATTGTGAAAGACGGAGATAAATAAAATCGAACGTTCTTGAAAGAATCAGAACTTGTTTTGCCATCGCATAGCACATAATTAAATGTGATTTTACATTTAGAATCGGTGAGGTGCGCGTGACCGTCCAGCCAATCATCATAAAATCATAAAAGACCATTTTAATACCAGAAAAGCATTAAACATACGAATGCTCGGTCATTATTACTGCGGTTCATACAAATCGTATCGAGAAAAAAGCAGTGAGATAAAAAAAATATCGGGTTCATTTTAATAGTTTCGATGCGAACAAGATGGATTGTCATTGTACAATTGTTTATGTTGTTTACAAAATTCAGTAAACAAACTGTTTAAAACTCTCGATTTTAACCGAATTATCGATAATAATGTGAACACTTATCAGAATTCGAAAGAAAAAAATAATTAGTCAACGAAATTGAAATCAAGAGAGAAATATACAAGGTCAGTGAACGTTCACTTTTTCACTCACTTATTGTGGAGTGCTTTTTCTTTTTTCTTCTTCTTTAGCGTCGTATAGTGTTACACAAATATATTAACTCATTCATAGTCTGATCTGTTAACTATCCATCTACTGTTGTTGCCAAAGGTGATTGTTTCGAATTCTCTCTCTCCTCTTGTCCATTCCATGTTGTCCATTGTTATGCAAGCATTTAAGAAAGAGAGTACCGAAAAGTGAGCCGAGATAATACCAAGTAGGATAAAAATGGCAACGCGATCGATTACCGCACCAAACGAAACCAAAAAGAAGTTAAAAATGAAAGCTCAACGGAGAGCAAAAAAAAAACAAGAACGACATTCATCGTACGTGTAGCGCACTACTAATTATTTAGATTTGTTTTTGATTTTTGTATTTTTCGCACGAGAATCGATTATCGCGCGGTTGCAGTAATGGTTTAAACCGAATTGCGACAGAAAGGAACAGTAGCAGCCGACAACAAACGAAAAAAAATATACACACGCGCACATAAAACTGGAAATTAGAATTCGATGTCAGCGATAACACATTTACCATGGTTTACTGTTATTAATCTGATTCGTTATAATGCACGCCAATTTTATTCAATTCTCTTCGTATGTTTATACATAGTTCAAACTCAACAGCACGAAAATGAATTCAGTTGGATTTTTTTATCTTTCTCTCTCTCTGCACACTGTGTATGGCGATAACGATTTTGTGTTGTTTTTTTTTCTCGCAAGAGAACCAACCAATCGGTTCTCGTTATCTTTAATTTTGTTCGTTGTTCGTTCGGTGATATCGCTCCAAAAAAAAATAATTGATTTTTGTGTGTCTTAAAACCATTGAATCTCTCTCGCTCACGTTTCACCATCGATTCAAAAACATTTGAAAGTGGCAACGCTCTTTAAGTAATACAGTAAAACTCTTCCCTGTAACTTTAGCATTGTGCGAAATTGAAAGTTATGGACAACGATTACCTCATCGTAAAAAAAACTGAAAAGCAAACCGAAACAGGGACACATAAGAAAGAGAAATGGATTACTTCCTTAATACGTTACAAAAATCGAAGCTTTAATGCAATCATGTTGATAAATAAATTTATTTTGAAAATATTTTTTTATATGAAAAAAAATTATATTTATAAAATGGTTCTTTTTTATTATTTTTCATTATCTTAATAAATTGTTATCTGTTTCGGAAAACATTTGAGGTAGATTTTTGACTTGATCAAATTAAGAAAGTCTTTAAAAATAATTTTCAGTTGGTTCGTTATCTTTCGAAAAAAAAAAATGTTCAGTTTCAGTTTAAAAGATATGCTATGCATTTGATCTAAATAAATTCAAAAAATACCCAAGAAAAGCATAAAAAAATGAATAAAACTTATCCACGCAATACATATGGCTATACCTTACGTTATATTTCACTGGATTTGATTAAAACTACATAAGTGTGCAAATATGGAAAATTGAAATTATATTGTATAAATGGTGTGATGATTCCAAATTTTATGACGATTCAGCGGGACAGCTGAAATCAAAGGAAGAATGGGTAACCAAAACGAATGTGGTTGTTTCAAAGTTTTTGTTTTTTTTTGGGATTTATGTTATTACGAATGAATCCGATTGAACAATTTATTGTTCATTCGCTTTAAGGTTGGTCATGATTTTGAGCAACTTTTGACGTCGTGCTGGCTGCGCAATTAGGATTATTTTCTTCTTTTGTTCACTGGAACCGAAAAATCCCAACACCTTCTTTGACTTTTCGCCAATCAACACCTCAACACCTCGGTCAACCGAACGAAGCATATGGATTTCACTCCAACGATATGACCAACCAACCTGAAATAATACGACATTTATAGTGGGATTGTGTTTTTTTAGTTCAACTGCCACGTTAATATCTTACCTGCCATCCACCGAACAAATCGTTTTTCTCACAGTATATCAAACGATGATCAGACAACAATAAAACTTCACGCTTTTCAATGATAACCTCGTAGTGTGCAAAAATATCGCTGCTGGCATATTTTCCCTTTTCGATTTCCCTACAAAATTGCAATTGAATTGTGTAAAACACTTGTATCTTCTTCAAAATTGTATGAGTACATACTTCAATAGTTTATTGCCTTCAGCTTCTCGCAAGCAGAACGGTCGCAAAACACCGTCCGAATGTAATGAACGTGGTGGTCGTAAACGGTTCACTTCTTCAGACAGTTCGGTGGCACGTTTAACAGCATCAAAACTTCCACTGGCAAAATCAACAAGACCAGCTGTTGGACGTGCAATCAAACCAACAGTACCTTTGCCCAATCCCTTGAAAAAACCACCAACACCATCGCTCATAGCCCCACTAAATGGTTGCGTTACGACTCCGGTTACTCCGTCGACAACACCCTACACAACGAAAACCGTTTAGTACGAAAAAAGCGCAATTCGATATTGAAAGTTAGACGTACCATGACAAGTCCTTGACCGCTACGAGCCAAACCTTCATGTAAATTGGCTGGTTTTTTATTCAATGCTTCGCGTCGTTTCTTTTGATAATCTTTATCGAATGTTAGGGCTGCCAAACCTTTGCCCATTGCTCCAGTGATCCTGAAATCAATTATTTGTTTTAAATTGTGATTCGATAAATGATTTAGAATGTATTACTTTGATACAGCACCAGCAGCACCTCCAACTGTATGACCAAATAATGATTTTACACCGAGAACCAAACCTTCAGCAAACTCACTTGGTCCTTGAATTGCGCCCTAAAACATTAAAAAGATTTTTTTTTTGTTTTTGTTCAGAAAGATAGCCTCCATGACTCCAAAAACTATGCGTGAAGTGGTTATAAAATTTACCTGGAATGGCTCGTAGAATAGATCTTCAACACCTTTGGTAATGCCAACAACTAATCCATATGGATTACCAATAACGTCCAAACCCAAAATGAGCACGTACGCTTGTTTAAGCGCTTGACTTGTGTAATGCGATGTTATTTCGTTGGTGAGTTGTCGTTGTGTGAAGAAATTGTATTCACGTTCGAAGAATGTTAAACGGAAAACAATATCATTGATATCGGTTAATGTGACACCGACTCCCTGTAAAATGGTCGATAAAACCGGTGGCAATGCGCCTGAAAAATGATAATAAATGTAAAGAAAAATGTATAAATCATAAGGGTTTTTCATCGACTTGAAATTAAGGACTTACCCGGTTCTAAGCCGGCCATCGAAAATGAAATGTGAATTTTCAGTGGTCCCAAATGTAGTTGATCGTAGAAATTCTTTTGATCCTGAGTTGATTGTGTAAGCACCAGAGCCGACAATTGTTCAATGTGCTGTTGTATGTCTATGTTGAACAGCTTTCGCTGCACAAAATAATTGTAACAATAAGATATAATTTGAATATGAACATTTTGTATTGCTGAGTTTTTTGCTGAGTTTTTTTAGTTGTATTGCCTCCAATTTAAATTCAATAAGAAACATAGGTGTTTATGCTTGTATTCGATATATCAACACAAACCCGTTAATAAACTAAGAGAAATTGAACAGTGTATACTTTCGCACATTTATGTTGTTATGTTTTCGCACAGTGTGAAACGTCAAATTACCCACACTGTGGCTCGCTGTGGCTCGCTATGGCTCGCTGTGGCTCGCTATGGCTCGCTGTGGCTCGCTATGGCTCGCTATAACTATTATATCATTTTGCAACATATAAAATTATTTTTTTTTGAAAAGTTTACTATAGGAAAAACTACAAATGGCTCGCTATGGCTCCCTATGGCTCGCTATGGCTCGCTATAACTATTATATCATTTTGCGACATATAAAATTATTTTTTTGAAAAGTTTACTATAGGAAAAACTACATATGGCTCGCTATGGCTCCC